ATACACAAATTGAGTACTTTCCCTCCCCTCAAATAGATGACTAGAGAGGGCTAGGTTGGTTTTTTCCCTTTCTCCATGTGGGCCAGGCGCTGATAAGATACTTTCATAGCATGGATTTGTTATTGATTTTTAGCTTGTCATGCTTTTTTCTTATTGTAAGATTGGAATTATGACTTCTCAGTGTCTTACATGCCAGGTTAGAAAACTAGAAGTTTTGGCAAATACCTGTAAGCAATAATTATAAATTGCTCAATGATGAAAATGTCATAATATGAGAACAGATAAGGAACCTCAGTACTTTCCCCCACCAAACAACAGAAGAACAGAAAGCCAAAACAAAATCAGAACAAATTTTTAAAAGAAAACCAAGTGGGAAAAAATGTTTATATTTTAATTTAAAAATCTGTTTACTGTCATCAGACAATCTATGTACTTCATCGTGGCTGTCTCTTCCTGGACAAATCTTTGGGCTGCTTTTGTTACTACAGGCTTCTCAGAATGTGAAAACCATTTCTTAGCAAATTCATGCTGAACTGAATACATGGGAACTAGAAGAAAGTCTCTGTTAGAATTTTTGTGATATATCATTTTTGTGATATGCTACAGAGCAGGGCAAGGCTCATCAAGGTACTTTCTCATTATAATTTAATTACCCTTAGTTTCTTTAGGAGTTAAATATGGGTTATTTTGGTATCTGGAATGGGGCAAGAGTAGGGAAACTCCAGGTAAAATGTTAAAAGTTCATCTTTGGCATTTAATTTTCTATCTACCTACGTATGTACCTCCCTACCTCCTTCCCTCCCTCCCTCCATCCCTCCCTATCTGCATATAGTGCTTCTCTGTGTGGTGTATGCACATGAATGTGCAGGTGTCAGAAGAGGACATTAATCTCTCCCCCTATTGCTTTGTTGTACTTCCTGGAGACAGGGTCTCTCACTCAATGAGAAGATTGCCATTTTGGGTAGGCTGGCCAAGGAACTTACAGACACCATCTGTCTCCATCCACCAATGCTGGGGTTACAAGCAAGTGCAGCCCTGCCAGACTTTGCTTGGCCTTTGAACTCAGGTCCTCATGCTTGCACAGCAATCACTCTTCCCCAGTGAGCCATGTGCCCAGTGCCTAGCATTTACTTTTCTACAAATTTGATTTCTGTCTTTGTGTCCTTTTATTGTTCCTTCTCAAACCATGTTCACCAGCTGTTCTCTGACTAGTCACATTAATCTTTTTGTTTCTACTCAGTACAGCTTCATCTCCATAGAATATTATGTTATAAAGTTGCCTTCGATTTTTGCTATCAGTTTCTTTCCAGAAGTTCCATGAGGGTGCAGGTAGGTATCAGCAGATCAGGTTAACGGAATTATGGAACTTTCCTTATTAAACATATACCACGAAGAGTATCTTCACACCAAACTATTCCTTGCTACTAACTTTTATACGTACTTCTAAAGGTAACATTGAAACAGATTTGTGGCAGTTTGTATAAGGGGGAATTACTTATCTTCTTAGCTTCTCCCCTGGGGATGGAAGGGGTTTTGGTTTTATTCCCCCTTTTTTTAGTTAAATATTAAAGATTTAAGATTTGCATGTAAAGTAAGGGTTTTCATTTCATACATGTATGGCATTATACTTGTCATTCACTCCCTTCCCTGTGCCCTCCCTTCCCAGGCTGGTGCCTTTCCTTCCCCTGATGTTCTCCCTTCTGCTTTCATGTCACATGCTCTATTCTAGGACCTTCACTTCCCACCATTCTTTTAAGATTGAAGATTTTAATCTTCTGTCTCATGATCCCCTTTCTACTCCCATCACACAAACACACACACACACAATTTTAAATCTAAGTTCTGCATATAAAAGAAAACACAGTAACTTGCTGAGTCCAAATCATTCACTAAATAAATGTCCTACTGACCTACTTGAATAGAAAGTTTTCAAAAGAAATACAAATAACCAATAAATATTTGAAAAATATTTACCATTCTTAGCCATCAGGGGAATATTAGGGGAATACAAAACTACTTTGAAATTCCCTCTCATCTCAGTCAGAATAGTTATTGCCAAGAAAAGAACAGCAAAAAATACTGGTAAGGATGTAGGGACAGAGGAATCCTTACTAGTAGGAATGTGCTGGTGCAGCCTCTACGGAAATCAGTATGGAGGTTTCTCAAAAAAATAAAATAGACCCAGCTAAAAATGCTTGGTTATACTTGAAGAATTCTAAGTCAACATTCCACAGAGATACTAGTATATCAATGTTTAAAGCTGCATGAATCACAGATGTTCATTAACAGATGTTTGGATAAAACTTGTTGATTATATATATAAATAAAACTTTATGCACAAGTGAACAAAAATGAAATCATAACATTTATAGGAAAAGGTGAAACAGGAAACCATTACATTTTATAAAATAAGCCTCTTTGTTGTTATATTTTAATGTAGGTGTTGGCCTACACTCAGAGTGCTCATGTTGGCCTGAAAGCTAAATCTGAATTTCAACTTATTTTGTAGAAAAAATAAAAATTTATCAGAACACAGGCATGCTTGTCAAGTTCACTGGTTACCAACTGCCCACTGCTGCTTTCACGCTACAAAACCAAAGCTGAGTAGTGCTAACGAAGTCACATGGCTCCCAAACACAAAATGCTTATTTGGCCCTTAAAAGAAAGCTTGCTGACCTCTGTTCTGTCATAGAACCCTGCATACTCTTATGTACTTTTCAAGGAAATTCTGCCTCGGGTGTTGTATGTATTCGCTTGACCTCCCTGTGGAGGTAAGCTGGCATTTAAATTCTCATAAAGTGCCAATTTCCAATTAGTTTACGCTCATCCATGGTAGCACCATGAAAGCTATATTTCTGATACTTCTAGAATTTATCAGTGCTCAAAATCTTGGAAGTGAAAAATGTTAATGAAAACTGCCTGAAAGACACATACTGTATTACTGTGCTATTCATTTTAAATGACTACACTAAGCTAAAGGAAGATCATTAGTATCATGGATACTGTAATTATACTATTTTATCCACTAAAGAATCTCTTCTATCAGGCCTTTTAGAGATGTAACTAATCTGTAATAAAGGACTTCTAAGAAAGAGACTTAAAAAACAATAGTTTTTAATATGATAATTCTGTTTATTGAAATGTGGTAATAACAAAACAGAAAACAAAACATATAAAAGAGAGAAGTAGTAACATGAAAAGGTAGTTCATTAAAAAGGCTAACAGAATGTCAGACTTCTTATAACACCAATTGTAAAAAGAGTTAAGAGCACAACAAACATTAATAACGAACTGTGGAAAGCACTATGGATCTGGCGGATGTCAAAAAAATAATGAAGGGTTCTGTTAGTTATTTCAATAGTAAATAAAAAAATTTAGTCAGGATAGACAAACTACTTGGGAAAATATAATTCACCAAAATTGTTGGCTAAAGAAAAGGAAATGTAATATCCTTACTCCTATATGTCATTTTAATCTATATACTAGGAAATATAAAC